CAGAAGCACACCCAGGTTATGCAGCAGGACAACAACAAAATATCAGAAAGATCAAAATAAATAAGATAAAAAGAAAACAAATGTTTTGGAGTGGCTTAGTTAAAGTCTGAATTTAAATCTGATTAAGATGCTTTGGCATAACCTTAAACAGGCTGCTCATGATCGAAAAGCCTCTAATGTGGCTGAATTAAAGAGTGGGCCATAATTCCTCCACAGCTGTGTAAAAGACTCATTGCCAGTTACTGCAGACTCTTAATTGTAGTTCTTCCTGCCAAGGGTGGCAAAACTAGTTATTAGGTTTGTCTCAGATAGGTTTGGATAACTTTTCCCCCCTTAATTAAATTGTCATATAAAAACTGTATTTTGTATTAACTCGGATTATCTTTGTCTACTCACATTTTTTGCTGATCTGAAGCATGTAAGTGTGAAAAATACACAACAAAAAGAAGTAAAAACAAAGTTGTACAGTCCTACATAGTCATCTTAGTGGCACTTCTCTTAGTTTAGCTTTGCCAGTAAGAGAGAAATAAGGCTGCCTGGTTTAGTGGTTTGCTACCTCTGAGCCATTGCTCATATACTAGCCATAAATTCATGTTTACTTAGAACTTCCAAATCTTGGATTCAGGGGACAGATTCAAACAACTGCCGCGCAATGATGCCTTCTTTCCATTATGACCTCCTAAGCTCCATTCCCCTATACAGAAGCTATGTGAAATCAAGTTTTATCTTTCAAAATTGATCCAATAAAGGGCATCAATCGCTGACAAACTAAAGAACGTGAGCATAGCTGGCCAGGAGCACAAAGGCGTTGTGATCAAGACCACTTGTTGTCGGCCGCTGATAGATCACGACTGGTTACGTCATCAGAATAACGTGAAGTGAGCGACGCTGCCTTGAGTTTTGGCTTCCCGATGAGCACGGTTTAACTGGCTCTGTGCGCTGTTATGTAACATGGCTGACGATCCGGGAGGGAGAGTTCCCTGTGCTTAAATTAGCCTGCTAGCTATTTGGTTCCTCGGTGACTTCACCTTACTGTTTCCTCTGCGGTCACGGCAAACTTTACCGTTTCACTTCCGTTTGCCAGTGATGATAGCTTGGAGTTAACAGTCATCCCATAGAATGGGAATGGTGATGGTGATATGATTCCCTTCAGGGTTCAACATCACCTCCATAGCGCTCTATTTTGAAATTTTTTTTTATCTATGTAGGCTAACAAGCTAATTATAAAGCTAGGTTAGCGTCATACTCCTGTCCTCCCCACAGCGGGCCCTCCAATCCCCGCACTCACCAGTTGGTCATGTCCAGGAAGAAGGCGCAGCCGGCAGGGTTGAGCTGAAAGCCCAGCAGCCTCTGGAACTCCGAAATAAGGACGTCCTTGTCCGTGGTGCCCATGCAGCTGAACTTCTGCATGAGCTCCGCGTCCACGTCCATGTCCGTGCCCTCCATGGGTGCCAGGTGTCCCGTGGCGGAGACGGGGGTGGTACGGGGGTCCTCTCTCAATTGAGTCCGAGGCCTTGTTCAGCCATAACAACCAGTTCAACAACAACAACCGTTAATGCGCATGGCACAACTAGGGGGACGATGTTTGACGTTGCAACAGCGCGCTCGTCGCCCTCCGCCAATCACTTGGTGGGCGTCGACGTCATCTGTTGCTATTTGTAGCCACCTTTTCATTGGTTTATCAATGAAATCTGTTTCCCATCTATCTGTTCAATGTAAAATATGGACAGTATGACTACCGATGTACATGAAAACAGCACTGAATATATTAATTATATAAAATTTGAATTTGAATTTAATTACACATATAAAATTTTTCAGAATTATAAAAACTCACTTTTTTAAAGATGTACTTTTCCTTAACCTTTCTATGAAGTGATTATGCTTGAAAGCAAAATTCAACATACAGGAAAGAAATATATAAATCAATAACGATCTGTATATATCATTTACATATATCAATTTTTCACAGTTTAACATTATACCTCATGTACCTAATCTTTTATCTATTCACATAATCATATTTTATGTATCAATGTCATGCTTCAAAATCCCTATTTTTTAATTTTATAAATGATAAATGAATACAAAGTTTTAAAAAACTTGTGTTGTTCATTATCAATATAAGGGGTTATATGAATATAGTGCTTTTGACAACATTTCCTGTCCAGTGTCTTGGGAGAAATGAACACATTTATTTTATTTATGTTGGGGTTTTTTTTGTTTTTGTTTTGAACAACACTGAATCTACTACATACATGTAAATGGTGCCCTTTATCTGCACCACCTTCTTTTTTTTAACTGGATTGCAAAATATAATTGTTTTATTATTGGTACAAATAATATGGTGGGTTTAAAAAATGTAATTAGTTTGTTTGTTTGAAAGTTGCTGATTTTGGTTGTAATTACGAATGTAATTACGTCATTTACATGCAGGGGTAGTATGTACTGCCTAATAGTAATGGAAATCACTAAATGTCAAAAAATTATTATTATAATTATTATTATTATTATCATTGTACTTTTCATCTACTGTATTTAAATCACAACTAACTTGTGAGTTCATCAATAACTAAAGAAAAAGCACATACAACACATACAAAATTCAATTCATGTCATTTGCAGTTAACAAACTACTAAATCTAATATATGGTTTTAGAAACTGGGTTAACAAGTTAAAGCCAATACATGCCACATACATGCTAATTTGTGACTTAAGCAATGGCTGTGATAACAACTAAATACCAACAGAAGAAAGAAAACTATGTAATTTTCCATAGCACGATTTTAGGCGGAACTAAATTTGTGTAGGTCTCCATATCTTGTCGGAACGCTTATTGGGAGCACCGGCGTCGCGCTTTCTGGTGGAGGTTCCTGTGAAACATGCCGAAGTAAGTTCACATAAAATTTGTTTTTACTGATAAGTCTTCTACCTATTTCGTTTAACAGCATTGGTGTGCGTTTGTATTTAAATTGAGTAAGAATTGGTGGTAAGAAAAACCCTGGAGACTAATAACCGGGGTATGCTCAGACCGAGGCTGTAAGCTGTGTCTGGGCTCTGGCTATTTGCTGGAGCGAAAGCCAACATAAACGTTTACCAGCAAATATCGACAGATAGTGAAGTCATGGGTCTGT